CTCCTTGTCATGTGGACACCTCCTCAGAGCATCTCATGACGCAGCTCTGGCTTCGTCAGAGGGAGGGAGAGGAAGGGGGCGGGAGAGGGGAGGAGAGCTAGCTGCAAGGTGGAGGTCACGGCCTTCGGTCACTTCCGTCACATTCTCCTCGTTGGAAGAGTCACTAGGTGCCGCCCACACACAAGGGGAGGGACTACACATCGCACGTTTGGTGGCAAAACCTGAACCAAACGGGTAAGTGGCTCCTTAGAGTCTTAATTCCATTGAGTGTGAATATTCTTATGTTCTGCTACAAAAACGTTCATGGATTTAATTTCGCGGGGCTGCCCCAGACCTTGCCAGAAAGACTATGTAATATACAGTAGATGTACTTTCTAAAAATCTACAAAGTCCTAAATTCTCAGACACCTGTCGCCCGAGGCTTGAAGTCCAGTGTCCGTTTGGACGGTTTACTTGGGTGCGTTTGAATGTTTAAGAGCAGGACTTGTGTTTTCTGATAGTTGTATTCTATCATGTCGTTTTCTTATATTTCAAGCTAGGCTTTTCTAATTTGTCTTGGTCTGAGATGCACTCATGACAATCCATTCTGAGTCCCCAATGCCACGATGCTCTGCGTCCTTTCAGAGGCCACTCATCTAGAGCGAGGCCCACTTGGAGGTCCATTGCTGGGACGTGCTTCAGCGGCATGCACACAGGCTCGCCAGCCTCATCTCAGCCTTGGGAATGCGGTGGCATTTTACGTTGTGCGGTGACATTTATGAGCCCATCTAAACGTCCATGGAGAGGCTGCTATCCGTATATTAAATGTCAAGTTTGAAATGGTCTGGGGTCATTGAATCCTCAGTTTTGTCCACTTTGATTCTCCACCGAGGCCATGGACTGGACACCTGTGCTGTTATGAGCCTCAAGTGCGGCCCAGGTTACTGAGGTCAGACCAGGGGGTCCGGTGGGGGCGGGGGGAAGGGGCACGGCGATGTAATTTGATACCTGCAGAAATGTTGCTTCATTTTAATTTTTTAAAAATAGAAACACATATGTGGTTAGTTGGTGAATAGATTATCAGAGGCAGAAAAAAACCCCCAGTAACTGAGGTTTCTGAGATGTTGGTGAGCTTATGAAACCTGACCCACTGCGTATGACAAGAATGAGAAAGAATCTATACTTCAGTGTTTTAAGTAGTAGTTTCAAGGGGTGTTAAACACATATACACAAACTTGGAGTAAGTTTCTTTTTATTTAAAGGGTAGCAAAAAGCATCAAATAGTTTCCTAGAAATTGAAAAGCACATGTCTGCTCACTGTCCAAGGACGTGTGCATCTCCAGACTTGGATTTGAGTCTCTCAGTTTTTTAAAAAGATATTTCAAAACGGACAGTCACCATGCTATACATGACATCCCCAGAACTTCCTGGTCTTATGACTGGAAGTTTGTACCTTTTGACCCTTTCAGCCCATTCGTCCCTCCCCCCACCTCTGACAACCACCAGTCTGTTCTCTGTTTCTATGAGTTTTTTGGATCTTTGTTGTTGTTGTTTTAGATTTCACATATGAGTGAGATTATTCAGCATTTGCCTTTCTCTGTCTGAATCGCTTCACTCAGCATAATACCTTCAAGGTCCATCCATTTTCCTGCAAGTGGCAAGATTTCCTTTTTCATGGCTGAATAGTATTCCACTGCATATATGCACCACACTTGTGTGCATAGCTTGGCTATAGTAGTAAATAATACTACAATGAACACGGGGGTGCAGATATCTCTTTGACATAGAGATTTCCTTTCCTTCGGGTGTACACCCAGAAATGGAATTGCTGGGTCGTGTGATAGTTCTATTTTTAATTTTTTGAGAAACCGCACCATTTACATTCCCACCACGGGGTTTATCTGAGAGCCCTGAGGAGCTGACGTGGGTACGATGTTCCTGTTTCCTCCGCTGGCACGCAGTGGACGTGATGGGCAGGGCAGCTTTGGAAACCTTTACGAGCGAGACTTCCGGTCTTCCAGAAGGTTCAGCTGTTCACTCGGCCCCACCTGGTCCCTTCGTCAGTCATATCTGCAGACCTGAAGTCAGGGCTGCTGGTCGGCACAGATGAGTAAGTTAGAGTAAGAATTCAAGTCACTCCAGCATCAAGTTTCAGAAGAGTCTTATTCCTGTCCAGACTTGAGGTCAAGAAGGGTCGAGGGATCCCATCTTTTTTCCTGCCAAATGGCTGTGGGCACACAGATGTTAGAAGATGGCTCTCGGATTCATTTCACGATCAGGAATTAGAACAAAAAGCAACTCCCGGCGTCGGAAGCTCGCCCCAGACCACGGGCGTGTGCTGCTTCTCGCATGGCATTCGGGTAGAAATTCGACCCTGGTGGGGCCGAGATGAAGCTGGTACCCACCCCGCAATCGCTCTTTCTGGCCGCTCTGCTCAGCCGTGAGGGAGGCATCTGATCACAATGAGGGACGTGGGTTTCTTCAAGGGTAAATGCCTTGCCTGCAGCGATGACCAAGAAGCCACAATGTTGAGATTCAAAAGAAATGGGCTTGGCCAAGCATCCGTTGTTTTGTCTACATCAGGCTAAACATCTGGGTGACTGGGAGCATCTCTGGAGTTGAACGGGCCACGTGACCTGGTCTCGAGTTGACACAGCCTGGGTCAAGGCTAATGAAAGACAGACACATGCTCGGAGGAGGGTGTTTTCTGAGCAGGGGAGGAGACGAGGCGGCAGCATGTATTCAGTGCTCTCCTAGTGTCCTGGGCTGCCACGCCGAAGGACTGCAAGCCACACGGCTCCGAGCAACGGAGTTTATTCTCTCATGGTTCTAGATTCCTGACGTCCCAAATCAAGGCGTCAGCGGAGCCACGTTCCCTCTGCAACCCGTGGGGCAGCCTCCTTCCCGGCCTCTTCTTGGCGTCTGGTGGTTTGTCAGCAGTTGTTGGTGTTCCCTGGCTTATGGACGCATCCCTCCAGTTTCTGCCTCCATCGTCACATGGCTGTCTCCCTGTGTGTCTACGTTTGTGTCTGTGTGAGTCTCTCCCCTCTTAGAAGGACACCGGTCCTGTTGGATTAAGGGTCCACCCTACCCCAGTATGACCGCATGTTCATTTCAGTAATTATATATCTGCAGTGACCCTAGTCCTAAATCAGGTCTCATTCACAGATCCTGGAGGGTAGAGCTTCAGCATATCTTTTTTGGGGACACGATTCAAACTATAATACCTGGTTCCTCCTCCGCGCCCCCCACCCGCCCCCAGAATCTAAAGAGCCGTGACATTTCTCCTTTAAATGGGCGGCAGGTGGGATGTCATCTCTTGGTGTCTGTGGCTCATGTGGCTTGCGTGGCACGTGATGAGTGTGGCACATGCTCGGGGGAATGACAAGGCTCCATGAAGGGCTGTTTCTCTTGCATTCTGACTCTTGCAGTCTGGGAAGCCCGTGGGAACCTGAGTTTTTCTCTCTGGGCAGTGAGGGGACAGAGAACTGACTGGATGACTGGGAGGAGGTGTGGCTCTGTGGCTCTGTTCTCAGTGGAGAGTGGCTGGCTTAGAAGGTGCCTGCAGCCGGTCCCGCCAGAGGAAGGCTGGGCACTGGCACCACATCCTGCAGACTTTACAGAGGTCAATGTCCCAGGCCAGAGCAGCTCGTCCATCAGGGGTCTTCTGGGTTTAGAGACCCCGAGCCCAGAGCTTGCAGGGGACAGCCCAGATTCAGGAGAAGCTCTGTCTCCCGGTGTTTGGTGTCTGCGCCGTCACAGAGTCCCTTTAGAAGAGTGCTAGAGGCGGCCAGTGTTCAGGCTCAGGGGAAGGTTCTGGAGAAAGAATTCCTGGATCGGCAAAGCACGTCCACCTTCATCCAGACAGGAAGGTGAACAGGAAGGTTTGGGCCTTACAAGTGGGTTCTGCCAGGTAGAAGCCCCCTCAGGCCACAGTCAAGCTGCAGAGGGAGGACCCCATCCCATGAGCAGAGCCACCCGAGCAAGTGAAGGGAGGAGGGAAGGTGTCTCTGAGGAGGGCAGGTAGCTGAGTGTGGCGCTCCTGCCTGGCCCGCTCCCCGTGTGACGAAAGCGCCACCCTCCGCTGCTCAGACAGACACAAAGCGGCTTCCTCAGGCCGCCTGCGAACTCTGCGTCCTGCTCCTCCTCGGGGACCCGCAGGCGGGGCCCACGGGCATGCGGTGTTTCCTCCTGGTGCTCTTCGGTCAGCCAGACACCCCAGGCCCCCCCCTCCCTTCCTTTGTAGGACCTGGAGGGACACCTCAGGGTCAGGCAGTGACCAAGGAGCTTATGTCGGATGTCCAGAGGGGGAGGGAAATGGCCCGGATGGCAGGCCTGGCTGCTGCGGGTGCTGCGGGGGGTCGGGGGTTGGGTGGCCGGGCAGGGTGGCCGGGCAGGTGAGGTGGTTTCGTACCGAGCCCGTGGGGAGCAGCCCATCCGCTCCCGGAAACCTGCTCTCAGTGGCAAATCGGGGGTTCATTTCTGCCTTTAAAGCTTCAAATCTCCTGGGGAAGGACAGTCAGGGGTCCTCAAAGTGCTTTGTTCCTCCAGAAAAGCGGGCCCAGGGGTGTGTGGGCACAGAGACGCCTGGTCGGCGATCTCATTATGAGCCGGGGTGGGGAGAGTGACATTAAAGGGCCGAGACGAATATTTAAAAAATTAAATCACATAAAAAAGAGCCATACCTAGAAATTTCCAAAGGTATCAAAACAAAGCAAAACAAAGCAAAACAAAACAAAACAAAACAAAACAAAACAAAACAAAAAGACCCAGAGAGCCAGGTTTGCCTTATCTATTACATTAGCCAAGAATGAGTGTGTTACGAGAAGGTTCCGGAAGGGGGGCACTGACGAACCGAAAGCGTCAGAGGGCTATTCTCTGTCCTGTGCAATATCCCATAAGCAGGTGTCGGGGCGGGGGAGGGGGGGAATGTGTCCTCGCAGGGACGGTGGGTGCTCTTCCATTCCCGGGCACGGGCTCCAGGCGCCTGGCGGGCCACCCTCCGCTGCCCCGTTCCGGGCTCAGTGGATGCCCTGCTCCGGCCAGCCGAGCTCTTTGGCGTACGCCCCCTTGCAGCTCCTGATCTCGTAGTCATGCTCCAGACACTTGTTCAGGCCCGGCACCCCCGATCTCCAGCCGATGAAGCCCTGGGTCGTCTTTGGGACCGGGGGGGACGGGAGTACCTGGAATGGAAACGCAGGGGCTTTGTCACCTTAGGCCTCAGGGACACGAGGTGTGTCTACGGCGGCGTCAGGACCAGCACGTGAGGCCTGGTGTGGAGAAGACAGAAAGCCAAGCCAGGGTCCCTCCGTAAGGTGCACATCCCAGCCAGCTGCACCCTGCGGCTCACGTCCTGGAAGTAACGCTCGTTTCTCTGTCTCCTAGCGATGAACCCACCGACTCTCAGCTGCTGGTAAAATAATTTTCATTTGCTAAAAGAGCCTCAAGGAGAAAGAAAAGTAAGGTGCAGAAATATCAAATGCTACAGTTCACACGGCCCTTTATAAAATACACGACAATATTGGCAGATGGGATCCTGGCAGTTACAAATCTCCCTGTTTCGATGAGAAGCCTTCACGATATGTCCACACACAGCCACCCAGACTACAGAGACCACAGGAACGAAAAGCCATGGAATTTAATTAAAAACCGAAAGGAAAATGGGATTCTGTCTGAAATAAAAGAACACGATTCCATCCAGTGCCTTGGATTTTCTTGAAATCTTTGGAAAATGAGAGTAAATGTTTATAGGCAGTTTCCCCCTCTCCATTTGAAGTAATCGTCCATTCTGCTCTTACAGGGCGATTTGAATACGGTGAAGAATATTTGTTCTAAGGGAAGAGCCGAGATAGAGGTTTAATATGCTTGGGGTTACGGGTTCGCGCTTGTTCGTTGGGGTAACGGGTTCGCGCTTGTTTGGGAGGGGACAGTCCTGGAGGCCGGCTGCCACTGGTGGAGGAAGCCCCCTAACATATGTTCTGGGCAAAGTGTTAAAACTACTCCCCTGAGAGGCCACATGCAGGGAAGGTGCTTAATAAATGCCGGTGGGGACGAAGTTTCCTTGAGCCAGCTACGGGTGGAATTACCCATAAGGCAACAGTTCTCCACGCTGCTGTCCAGACGGGCCGTGACGACACAGACCAGCTTTCGAGTCTCCCTTTAACTTGTAAGAGAAAAAAAGCGGTAGAAAACCACCCAGGGTGCCACATTTCACCCCGCCAGATTGGCAAGGAGATGAAAACACCACCATCAACAACCATTCCCCGAAGTAGGTGCTTCATTCACCCCTTGTACGAAGGGGAGGTGGAGACACAGAGAGGTCAAGGCTCTGGCCCGAGACCACACGACAGGCGGGCGGCCAAGCCGTCTGCATCTAAAGCCGGGGCCGGTTCTCGCCCTGCCTTCCCGCCCACTCCCTGTGTTTGCTCCTCCTCTGCGTGGAGCCCCTCGTTGTCTTGGTGTCCCCTCTGCTTCTGCAGAGCCAGGTGCAGCGGCTCCCCGAAGCGCAGACAATAGCTGTTGGGTCCCCCACGAGTGGGCATGGAAACCGGACTCCCCGGGGCCCGGCGCCAGCTGGGTTCTCGCCTTTGGCAGCCGGCTTCGTGCACCCGCAGCAAACGCCGTTTCTTACTCAGGAAACCAGGGATTGAAAAGGGCTTTGCGAACCTTGATGAACTTCTCCACTGGGGTCACTGGCCGGATGCGGAACCGCTGGGGGAGCTCCATTTTGGGCTTCGGGGTGGGGGCTTCCTCTTCATGCTGGATCAGCTGAAACACAGCCCCCAGAGACGGGGAACCCCGGGCTGAGCCGGCGGGCGCGTCCGCGTCATCGTCCCCCAGATGCCAAAGCGGAGCTGAGAAACTCCAGGCGGCTCGTCCCCAGTCACACAGCCAGAAAGGGGCACACCGGGGCTTGCACGCGGTGAACCGCTGTGCCCGCCGACTGCGCGTGCGGCCTGCTGATTTATTTTCCCCAGTAATAATTTGAGAAAACATTACAGGTTATGGACTCAAATTTTAAAAAGATGCCAACGAGTTTCCAGGACCAATGAGAGGCCAGCTCCACCCTCCCTTTTAATTTTTAAAGCAATTTTGAACTCTTCAAAAACCCAATCTAATTACGTATAAAGAATATTAATGTAGACTCTTTTGCGCATATTACATTAATAAGGACTCATTTTATGCATAAAATTTCAAATTGTATAACTAAATACTAAAAAACTCATTAAGAATAGCGTAATTTCATAGCTAGTGGGATGGGGTGAGTTACAAACGGGGTTTTCGCTGCCTCGAATCATGAACGTTTGAATCATGCAGCATCCCTCCGAAGAAATGTGGCTTCCTTCTCTTCTGTCCTGAGATAGTTTGGAAGGTCGCAGACAGGTGGCCACCATCCCACTGAAGCCCACGCGGGCATTCTGTGGGCCTGAATGGTGTTTTATACATCTGAGCCGCTGTTCTAGACTCAGAAGATTTGGTATAAACATCTGGATGTCTGGACCGTCTTGAACAGCTGGAATGTGCAGTTGGCTTCTCTGAATGGTAGCCGCGGCCGGGCTGATGGTGGCTCTGTCTGGATGGGGCCCGTGGTCTCTTTGCTGGCGTCACTCCCTATTAATGATTATGCCCGGCCCTTTTCTGTTGCCTGTCTCGCTTGGGACATACCAAGATATTTTCCTAAGAAGCCCTCATATATTAACTCGGCGTCACCATGTCGTTTCCCCGGATCCTCACAGTCACGCAGTGAGGCGGGTAAGGACTGCTACCCCATTTAACAGATGGGAAGTCGGAGGCCTGCGGGTCCGGCCAGCTTCTCCCCTTGGCGCCTGTCTTTATTAGCTGTGTGACTTGCCACTCCTTTGAACTCGATTTCCTGATTAGTGAAATGGGCATAAGCAGCAGCCTCTTGGACCCAGGGGTGGTCATGCGGGTTATATGAGCCGGTTTGGGTGACGCGCCCAGGACACGTGGGTGTGTGACAAATTCGGGAAAGGAAGCATCGTCAGGTTTCAGGGTTGGCTGTCTTTGCCTGTGACACGCTTTAATTTTATTCTTGCAAATTACACACTTCGTAACCGTTTATTCTTGGAAACGGTCAATTCTATAACCTCTGGGCTCATAAATTTATATTTACCTCCTCGAGGGGGGTTGTTAAAAATCCCCAGTTCTGGGCCCAGTTCTGCCGGGCTTCGTTTTCAGCCTTCAGGCGGTATCTCCTGAAAAAGAAAGTCCCTAAGTGCCGGACGACATTCAGAAAAGGTTAGAGGAGCGACCCCCCGCAGGGCCGTCGGGGGGCTTGGCACTCTTCACCCACACTCCCCAGATGACGACCCTGTGCCGGAGCCGGAGAGGGGGTCGGACTCCCTCTCGCCGAGCACCTTACACTGCCGTGAGCAGACACACGTCTGCAGAGCCAGAGGTGCTGGTGGCCGGTGCCCGGGGCAGAGACAGGTCGGGGCGGACGGCACGAGGCGCTGTCCAGATGCTCGGCTCCTGGTTCTGGGGGCCTCGTGACCCACAGTGATGGGCGCGTGTTAAATCATTAGGAGGCACGTTTCAGGTAACTTTGTTCTCAGATTTAAGACCTGGGTGGGGCGAGGGAGGCAACTGGGGTGCAAAATTTAAGGAGCCGCCCACTCAGGTTCCTGCAAGTGCAGAGCCAGCACTTACATGGCCTTGAGATTGAACCTTTCTTAGCTATGGCACCCCAGCACCTCACTTGCCGCACCCTAACCCCAACCCTGCTTTCACCTCACGTTAAATATAATTTATACGTAGTTACCTACGAGCTGAGTTGAGTGGCAGTTGAATAGTGGGGGTGTCAGATTTTTGCAAACATCTAATGAAACATTTATTTATTTTGATTTTCAAGTTTCTTTTCCTATTTTGGAATCACAACAGGACCTGGGCACTGGGCATCTAAAGCAAAGTCCGTCCCCCCTGGAAATGTAACTCAAGCCTAAAGTACGAGCCACACACATAATTTAAAATTTTCTAGTAGCCGCACTAAGAAAAGTAAAAATAAACAGGTGAACTTAATATCACCTTTTTTTTTTGGTACGAAATCTTCAAAATCTGGTCTTTTACATTTACAGCTCATCCCAATTTGAAACAGTCACGTTTCGAGTGCTCAGTGGCCACTTTAGTTGTTGGACAGAATAGTCTAAGGGCTTAACTATCGCTGTTAACACTGGAAGGACCATCTGATTTGGGCCTGGAAGGATGAGCAGGAGTTTGCCTAATGAAGGAGGGAGGAAAGGGCTCACGGGGAACAGATCCTACTGTGGTAGTTTTCCTATTGGGGTACTTACAGAAAGATAGTAAAACCATCAATACTGGTATACTTTTATGCCAAATAATACTGGCTTTCCATTTTCAACAGTGATACAGTTTCCTAGAAAAATAAAATTACTAAGAGAAACAAAGCCAGTTTCAAGAAAAATATGAAATGACTACTATAGGCTTTACGAGAAATGGTAAAAGTCATAGAGATGAAAAAGGGTCACTGAGATGTAAGAGGCAAACAATTCTGGTTTGTCGTTATTAAAATTTACTCAGTGGCATCTAAACAAGTGACTTCCTATATTGGTTAAAACTTCAAAGAGGTGACATAATATTTAGCAACTGGAGAGAATGCCAAATAAAAGCAACTATTTCAAATGTCTGCCGACCATAAACCTGGTAGAAAGTGAAGAATTTCTATTCTTCAAATTAAAATTTATTACATAAAAAAAAAAAAACCCCAGGAAAAGTAAGAGAATATAAAGTGCATATGTATCTCTCATTCGAATTGAACAAAGATTAAGATTTTCGTTTAGTTTCTTTTTTTTTTAAATTTGATAAATCTTAAAAAATAAGAACACATTAGTCGCTCTCAACAGGCAAAGCTTTGCAGATGGGTATAGGGCCAGATGGAAATCTTTCCCGCCTTTGTGGTGCGGCTCAGAAGGAGAAAGGCTTTCCCGTCGCCCTCGTGCCACTGTCACCGCCTCCTCTCCTTAAGGACCCCTCACCACCTCCAGGACTTGGTGGGGAAACAGAGGTCACCAGGTGTGCACGCATCAGGTAGGGACGGCCCAGCCCCCCGGTTACCGGGTCCCTGGCGTTACCAGATCGCGTCCTGGGCCACGAAGTTCATGCGCTCGGCCGCCTCGGTGCCCATGGGTTTCTGCGCCATGGGGCCTGAAGTCTCTGTTTGCCCTACACTCTGCAGCCCTTGGTTCAGCGTCTCGCGTCGCCCGGGAGACCGGTTGCCGAGCAACGCAGGACGCGGAGGCGGCGCCGCATCTGGCGGGGGTGGGGCCGCTGCGCTCTCGCTGGGTCCCTGCGCAGTGCCAGCCTCTGCCGCCTCTGCGCTCTTCCCCCGCCCGCTGGCCACCTGCCTGGCCCCCGCTGCAGCAGCCCTCCTCCCCCGGGGGAAATCTCAAGACCTAACACCCCCTTCCTGTAAAATCGAGACCTGTAATGCAAGTATGCACAGCGACGAGTGTGCCAACCCCGCGTCCCAAGCGTAACGGCTTCTGTCACAGAGCACGCACCCCAAACTGCCGCCGGGATTACGAAATGGGGCACTCCGGCCCAGCCCCTCTGACTTCTCCCCAGAGTTCAGTTTTGCCGCCGTTTGAACTTTGTGTGAGCGGTCATCCAGGTGTCCCTTATGTCGTGTTTGAGGGGCTCGTCCACGTCGCTGCGAGTAGCCCGCGTGTGTTTGTTTCCATTGTGTCCCGGCGGCCGCCATCGGCTCTGGGGTTGAGTTTTTTGGCCACCACAAAAGTGTCGTAGTGACTATTGCTGCTCGTGGCTTCTGGACAACGTATGACCGAACCTCTGTTGTCAGCCGCCCTTTATAACCCTCCCCGAACCAGCCTCACAGGTAAAATCGCCTCCAGACTCATCATGCCCCTCAGCACTGATCCGTCACGGTTGGGGCGTTAGCTTCATCCGTGTTTGTTGACTGACTCATTGACCCTCAAGGCTTCCAGTGTACCATGTACCACTGTATCATGGGCCCGGAACTGGAAAATGGGTCTGAGAGACAACAGTAAGTGGATCAACTGCACAGGGTGAGGGGTTGTTTTTCTGCCTGAACAGCCATGGGACACACGGGTCCAGAGCCTTGTGGGACTGTGAGCACGCTCCTGCCCATCTGCACTGTCTCCTGGTAATTCTCAAGGCCACTCTTTGGGGACATGGCTGTGTTCATCTTCCAACTGGGCACCTGTGATTTCCCCTGGCGTGTCGCCCTCCCTTTCCTTGACCTCCTTTGCCCATGGATTTGTGCCTCTATGGGGTGTTTGGGGGTGCGTTCCCCCTTGTAACGCGTTCCCTACATCCCTACACCCAAGGCGCGTGATCCCTTCTGGGCTGTAGGAAATGCTGGGTGGATGCCCAAGTCTGCCGTGGCCACCATAGTGAGGGGGCAGGCAGGGGCTGGGATTGGGGCTGAATGGGTTAATTAGTGAATGCGTAACACTATGCCCAGGGCTGAGCAAGTCACTGGCCAGGCCAGATGGCCATGGGGTGGGCAGGTGTCGGGGCAGGCCAAGCCTTTCCTTCTGGTCTGTTTTCTGAAGTGGCCATCTCTGCAACAGGAGGGAAGATGTCCTGGGGAGAACTGTGAATAGCGGGTGGCTTGGAAGAGGGGAGGATCCGTCAGGTGGGAAGGGACCGTCTGCTTCTCCTTTGGGAAGCTTCGGAGATGATTCTGTTAAAGTGATTAGTTAAGAATAAACTTGTTTACTCAGTGTCTCTATATGCCAGGCACCGAGGGTTCATTCATTCTACAAATGTTTGCTGAGCGCCTCCTCCACGCCTGGGGATCCAGGAGGGAACAAACTGACAGTGTCATCGTCCTCCTGGGGCTGGCGTGTCTGTCTGCAAGGGAACAGATTCACAGCTGACAAGACCAGGGAGAGCTGGAGCTGTGGGGACTGTTCCGTCAGGGATGGAGCTGCTGGTGACAGAGTCAGGTGAGGGGTGCAGAAGGGACTCTTTTAAGGGACGATTTTAAGAAGGGCCTCTGAGGAGGGGACATTTGAGCATAGAGCTGGTGGGGGAGGGACCCGTGCAAAGGGCTTGGAGGAGTTTTCCATGGAGGCGGGAAGGGCAGGTCAAAGGTCCCGGGTGGAACCCACGTGGGGTGTTGGAGAACAGCAAGGAGGCCAGCGCAGCGGGGGTTCCCTGGAACACGTGGCCGGCGTAGATGTGGAAAAGCAAGCACATGTCTCCAGGGGTCCAGGCGAGTAGGGACGCGGACATGGATGCAACCAGATGATAATGCAGCCTGGTACCTGCAGTTACCGCGGGATACATGAGATTGACGGTGGGGCAGATGCGTGCAGAGGCCATGATGAGTGAGCTGGGTTTTGAAGGATGAATAAGAGTTTGCTGGTTCTGCCCATTCGCCTCGGAAATATCTGCATGGCGCACCCGGGGGATGCTTCCGGGACTGTAAGTGGGTAGAGGATTAGGATCAAGTGCATGGGCTTCGGGGTCCTGGCTCCACTGAGTGCCACCTCAGTGACCTTGGGGCTGTTGGTCAGCCTCTCCGGGACCCTAGGAGGCCATGAGGAACAACTGTAAAAGGCTCAGAATAATGTAGAGCATCACCCCAGCGGCAGCATGTTGGTCGTCCTGGCTTGGGAGGTCCTTGGCCCAAGGCACAAAGGCTTGGGGGACAGTGTGGGGAGGTAGAGATGGGGCTGTGAGTGGAACCATGGTCGGCTTCTTGAGGATGTTGGTTTTGAAGGCAAGGAGGCTGTGGCCGGCGGGTGGACCGGCCTGGGAGGCGGAGTCCTTTCCTGAGACGTGAGGGAGGAGCCGGTGTTACCCTTGTGGGGGGGCTGCTCCCCGGGCCATCGCGGCTCTGGCGGGGTGCTTCCCTACATTCTTGTTTCATGGAGGAGGGATTCATCTGTGACCGTGTTGCAGATGGGAAAACTGACTCAGACAATAGGTGGAAGAGAAAGGATTTGAACAAAATCCCAAGCCCCCCATCTTAGCACAAACTCAGGCGCTTACTCTTACCCAGGGGCGGGACCCCACGGGAAGATGGGAGCCACGTATCCCAGTCTCCCTCTCTCGGTTCTCAAGGCCACCTTTGTCCCTCTGGATGGTTTCTAGGTGGCCGGGGCTTGGCTGTGGCAGCAAATCTCGGCAGCAAATGATATTTGGGGAAGAAGCTGAGTTCTGAATTTTCCGAGGTGATGTCGGCACAAGGCACAGTAGTACCCATGAGTTGTACCAGGGCCCGTTTTGCTGTCAGCCACTGAGGCTGCTGGAGGACCGAGGTCATGTGGAGAACCCTAGACACCGGCTCTCCAGCCTCCCTGAGGGACTCCTCCTGACCCAAGGGTGCACTTGCTTCCACCAGCCGTGGCCAGAGCCCGCACTCCCCATCCCGCAGGCCGTATGCTGTCAGGCAGGAATGGGCCCGAGCAGCGGGACCCTGCCCCAGATCCAGCAAGAGAAACACAGGGGGTCTAGTTAAACTTGAGTTTCCTGGCATACGCTTCTACTGCATGCACTAAACTTACACTGAGAAATTATTTGTCGTTTATCAAATTGAGCTGGCGTCCCGCATCTGATCTGACCACTCTACTCCCAGTGAATTTCTTCGCTGGTACGTACCATGCTCAGCTAATGTGGAATCCTATTTAATTTTTATTTCTGGGGGTCTCTGTTTTCCTTGTTTTATGTGTACCCTTCTTTTTCCTCCTGGTTCCAGGGGTGGAAACCTCTTCCTTATGATTTTCAGATCCAGAAATTCACAGACCTCTGACAGACACAATTTCTTCACCTAACGCTTTTTTTTGTTGTTGTTCAAAAGTGTTATTCGGCATAGGTTTCAGACAGGAAGAGCTGAGCGAGAGAAAGGGCTGCCATCCTTGCTGATTGGACGAGGGAAACGAAGAAAATATTTACAGCTTGCAGAAGGTTCGCCATGTTCCTGTATATTAATATTTTTGGCCCTGTCTCAGCGTTCTGGGACAGTTTGAAAAAAAAAATTTTTTTTTTCATCTTGCTGTTGCTTTATAAAACATGTCGACGACTGAAGCCAACTGCTTCTTTCTAGTTTTTAAGCTTAAACAGTTTTCTTTTTTATTTCGTGACTTTTTTTTTTTCTTTTAACCAGAGAATGCTTTGTGCCGCCAGCGGCTCCTGCCGGCCAGCGTGCCTTTCTCCCAGCACGGGTGGCGATGGCCCCCGCTGCACAACAAAGCCACCGAGGCTCGGGCTGAAAGTGCCAATTTCCAGGGAAGGCATTTGATGGCATAACCGAGCTGCAGCTTCGGGAACTCAAAAGTCCTGGTTTTTCACACCCATTATGCACTCTCTTTAGTCACAGCAAACGATTTCTCCTTTTACTTCATAAATAGTCTGCACTCCGTACACCTAAAGGAACAATTAACTTCATTCTCTGGGTCTTATTGAGAAGAAAAGAGCTGAGAGCTGCCCCCTCCCCGAGCACCCCAGAAGCCGCCCTCCGGGGCTCGTGCTCCATTTGCCCTAATTATCAATTATTGCCCCAATTAGAGGCCTCCCATCAGGTTGGGGGTGCAGTTTGTCTCGCTCTTTCTCCCTCCCCGGGCCCTTCCTTTCCAGCCTCTCCTGTGCCAGCTCTTAGGATGTGAGAAAGCCTAATGTGTGGGGAAAAAAGTAAACTCGGACGTGACCGACTGATTTCCGTGTGCAGCAGTCACCGGCCTTGGCGACGTGAGGTGCTTAGCACCCGGGGAGCAGAGGGCGTCTGTGGGGTTTCACGATTTGCATCTGCAGTGGAGTCCGGGTGAGGGGGAGCCCGGTCAGGAACGCACGTGCTCTGCCAATGGAGGTGTCGCCTCCGAAGGGTTTTGTGTAACTGGACTGGCCATGCGGGGGACTTTACTGCCCAGAGAGGACCGGCCGCCCGGGTCTGGAGGGAAGGTGGATCATGGGGTAGGAAGGTGAGGAGGGGGCTGGCTGCCATGTTGTTCCGTCAGATGCCGACATTCGCTCATTTACCCACCTGGTGGCAGCAGGCCAACCGTTCCCATCCTCCATTTGCTGAGATTTAAGTCAGGATGGCTTTGGATGGCCATTCCTTCACTCATTCCTTCATTCGTTCGTCCAACCAACAGATCTTTATCGAGTCTCTTCTGTGTGCCGGGCCTTGTGCTGGGCAAGACAGGCCTCGTT